TTTATAATTAATACTTGTATAGAAGAAAAAAAAAGGTGAAAATAATATATATTATATAATTAATAAATCTTGAATAATTTAATTATTTTTTATTTAAAAATTTGAAAAATTAAAAAATTAGGATTTTGTCACGGATTTTGAATCCCTCACAATTTGTGACGGATTCTGTGATGGAAAATTTTTAAAAATTGTACTTCATCACAAATTCTGTCACAAGTTGTGAGGGATTATGTATCCCTCTCAAAATAAAAAACTTTATTGCATAATTATTATATTTAAGAATTATGTATAAATAAAAATTATTTTGCTAAAAAAATAATTAAAAAATTATGAAACTTAAATATTTTTTTTTATCAAAAGATTAAAAATTAAAACATAAGAAATGAATTAATTTAAATAATAAGTTGTCATTTTGAAGTATAAGAAATTAAAATATGAATTAGGAAAAAACTTTTAATTTAAAAATACTTATGAAATTATAAAAAGAAAATATTATTCTACATTTTAACTAAAAAAGCTAAAAATAAATATATAAAAGTATATTTATAAATTATATATAATTATATATAACTATATATATATATATAGAGTTGGAGCTGGTTAAGAAATTTAGAGATTTGAATCTGTATGTAGAGTTGGCTCAAGACCACATTAGCTGTGGCATGATTACCATTGCTAGTGAGTTCTTGTAGTAAGTTGGTATGAAGTAGTTGTAAGATTCAGAAGTTGTAAAGGTTCTTAATTTGTTAGATACAGAGAAAGCAGTTAGCTTTGAGATGAGTGAAGATGGGATTTGAGGTTTAAGGGCAGAATTTGCCTACCTTAAGATTCTAAGTATAGAGAGACATTGTTGAATATATGGCGACCTGTCTGATCTGTTAGAGGGCTAAGGTTGAGCACCAGAAGTCTGGTGGTTTGTTGTTGATGATGGAGATCCGGTAGTGGAAGTTGGTTAGTATCACTATGGATTTCATTGATGGGTTGCCTAAGTCGACTAGGAATAGTGATGCTATTTGAGTTGTGGTTGACAGATTGACCAAGTGTGCACTTTTCTTGCCTGTTAATATCAAGTGGTCGTTGGAGAAGTTGACATAGTTGTGTGTGAAGGAAATAGTATGGTTGCACGGGGTGCCTTCTTGTATTATTTCAAATAGGGATCCAAGGTCCACTTCTAGATTTTTGGCAGAGTCTACACCAAGCCTTAGGTACGAGGTTGAGGATGAGTTCTACTTATCATCCACAGGCGGATGGTCAGTCAGAGAGGACAATTCAGTCCTTGGAGGTTTTGCTAAGAGCTTGTATGCTAGTCCACTTGGAAAGTTGGGAGAAAGTCTTACTATTAGTAGAGTTCGTGTATAACAATAGCTTTCATGCTAGTATCGGGATTGCATCGTTTGAAGTCCTGTATGGTAAGAGGTGTAGGACTCCTGTGTTGGTACCAAGATAGTGAATCAGTGGTTGTGGGGCCGGAGTTAGTCCTACAAACTACTAAGAAAGTAAAGTTGATTCAAGAGAGTATGAAGACTGCCCAGAGTAGATAGAAGTCATATGCTGATAAAAGGTGAAAGCCTTTGGAGTTTGCGGAGGGGGAACATGTGTGTCACGTTTCACAGTTGAGGAAGTATGTCCATGACCCGAGTCATGTAGTTGAGATGGGTGAGATTCAGGTCAAGGAGAACCTGACTTATGAGAAGAGACCGGTAGTTGTGATTGATTATAAGTTGAAGTAGTTGAGGGGAAAGTTCACTGGATTGGTAAAGACCTTGTGGGATGCAACTACTGGTGAGACTCCTTGGGAGATTGAGCAACTGTGTAGAGAACAGTATCGTTCTTTATTTCCATGTAAGTCTATTTTCGGGAACGAAAATTCCTATTTGTTAGGGGGTATTGTAACGTAGTAAATTATTTTTAGAAGGTTCAGCATGGGTGATTCAGTAGTCCAGAACGGGCCGTTCCAAACTACTAAATTGGCCTATAAAACGTGGTTGAAAACAGGTCGTTCTGGAAGGAGAACGGGCCATTCCAAACCCCAAAATGGGCCGTTCCGGAAAGAGTACGGGCCGTTCTAGTTGGAGAACGGGCCTTTCTGGATGAGTTCCAGAACGGGTCATTCTGCATGTGATTTTTGCACATGAAGGGGTGCAGAACAGACCGTTCCGGATTCAGAACAAGCAGTTCTGGCCACTCCTGAATGTCTATAAATAGAGGTTGTGGACAGTTGAGGAAAAAAGGAGGTTTTTAGAGAGAATTTTAGAGAGAAGGGATCTGGATTAGGGAGCTTGTTTTGGGTGGATTGAAGTCCCGGGTTGAGCTTCGGAAAGGGGAATTCCGCTTCTTGGCTATTTTGAGCCAATCTTCAAGTAAGGGAAGCTAGATTGTAGATTTTTTTTGGTGATGCCTTTGTGATGAAGATGAGATGTAAATGAGATGCATGTTGTAGTTAAGTTGTGATGTTTACAAGTTGTGTTGATCTATGATATTATTTCCGTTTCTAATTTCCATTTTTCTAGTAGTGATTCTAGAGAGAAGGTCTTTGGTTCGTGAACTCTTTTCTCTCAAT